TTGGAGAACAAAATATGTCTTTGTTAAGCAGTTGGTTACATGTTTCACAACATTAATCCATTCAGTATATTTTCCAATAGCATTTAGGAATGGATGCAGGATGCTTGACTTGTCCATAAAATATTGTTCCTATAAATGACCTTAGTTGGTGGTTGACATAACTTTGTAGAAGAAATTAAACGTCTTAACTTTATATTTAATGGAAAACTACTATCTTCCGTTTCATAGCATAATGCGTTATATATTAGTTGTCTTGTGATTTATTTCCTATTGCCTAGAGTACTCCTCAGTATTCCTGATCGCATTAAGATTATATTATAGTGCTTGATATGAGAGAGAGCAAGATATGTGTATGTGCATGTTTAAATATATATGTATATATATGTATATATGTATATATATATATATATATACATATATACATATATATACATATATAAGAGTATACATATACATATATATACATATATATAAGAGTATATATATCTATATATATATATATATATATATATATATATATATATATATATATATATATATATATATATATATATATATATATATATATATATGTGTGTGTGTGTGTGTGTGAATATACATATATATATATATATATATATATATATATATATCAGAGAGAATAACGTGACCAACAATGCCCTCAACGCCATTGAAAACCTCCCTTGTTTGACCAAACTGGATGAGAATCATACTGTGACATAACTAAAGCTAGCATTAAAGAAACTGACCACAGGTAAAGCCCCAGGAAAGGATGGCATCCCAGCAGAAGTCATCAAATGTGGCGGCAGTGTGCTTTTCACACACCTTTATGATCTTCTCTGTCAGTGCTGTGATGAAGGTGCAGTGCCTCAGGACATGAGAGACGCCAACATCATAACCCTGTATAAGAACAAGGGCGACAGAAGTGACTGCAACAACTACAGGGGCATATCACTTCTCAGCATCGTGGGTAAAGTCTTCGCTAGAGTCATCCTGAACAGACTACAGACGCTTGCTGACAGAGTGTATCCAGAGTCTCAGTGTGGGTTCCGCGCAGAGAGGTCCACAATAGACATGATCTTCTCCATCAGGCAACTGCAGGAGAAATGCAGGGAACAACACAGACCCCTCTTCCTGGCTTTTATAGACCTCACCAAAGCATTCGATATGGTCAGCAGAGACGGACGCATCAAAATCCTGACGAAGATTGGATGCCCTCCAAAGCTGTTAAGCATGATCCAGTCCTTCCATGTAGACATGCAAGGCACAGTGCAGTATGATGGCTCATCGACCGAACCATTCAATATCCACAGCGGAGTGAAACAAGGCTGTGTCCTTGCCCCCACGCTCTTTGGCATCTTCTTCGCTGTCCTGCTTAAGTACGCCTTTGGGACGTCCACAGAAGGGATCTACCTGCACACGCGTTCGGACGGCAGACTGTTCAACCTGGCACGACTGAAGGCAATGAGCAAAGTAAGGAAAGCAACCATTAGGGACATGCTCTTTGCAGATGATGCTGCTATAGTCACTCACACAGAAGCTGAACTACAACGCCTGATGGACCGCTTTGCTAAAGCATATGATGAATTCGGGCTGACCATCAGCCTAAAGAAAACCAACGTGATGGCTCAGGACGCAGACCCTCCCAGCATAACCATTAACAACTACAAACTAGAAGTAGTCAGTGAGTTCACTTACCTTGGCTCTACCATCACCAACAACCTCTCACTCGATGCCGAGCTCAACAAGCGGATTGGAAAGGCGTCAACAACTCTCTCTAGATTGTCGAAGAGAGTGTGGAACAACAACAAGCTGACATTAAACACTAAGATCACCGTGTACCGTGCCTGCGTGCTTAGCACTCTTCTGTATACCAGCGAAACTTGGACCTTGTACGCCTCTCAGGAGAAACGACTAAGCGCCTTTCACATGCGTTGTCTCCGTCGCATACTTGGGATCACCTGGAGCGATCGTGTGACAAACAACGAGGTGCTTCAAAAGGCCAAAATTCACAGCACGGTCACACTCCTCCGCCAACGTCGCATCAGATGGCTGAGTCATGTGCATCGAATGGATGATGGACGGATCCCCAAAGACCTTCTCTACTCTAAGCTTGCCTCAGGCAGAAGATCAATAGGACGGCCACATCTTCGCTTCAAGGATGTCTGCAAGCAGGATATGAAAGCTCTTGGAATAGAGGTCAACACCTGGGAAGAGCTTGCCCTCGACAAGTCCAGCTGGCGACATGCTCTGTACACAGGTCTGAAAGCCAGCGAGGAAAAGTTACGACAGCTCGCTGATGAGAAAAGATTTCAGAGGAAGAGGATGCAGTTCCAACCAAGACCCGAGTCATACTTCAAGTGTAGCAACTGCAGCAAGGATTGCCACTCCCGTGTGCGACTTTATAGTCACAGAAGACGCTGCACAGCTACAAACTAGGACACCTTTCATGGGCGCATTTTCATCGTCTCTCGAGACTAACGGAAGCCAACCAACCATATATATATATATATATATATATATATATATATATATATATATATATATATATATATATATATATATATATATATATATATATATATATATATATATATATATATATAGATATATATATATTAATATATATATATATATATATATATATATATATATATATATATATATATATATATATATATATATATATGCATGGATCGATAGAAAGATGGAACCTTGGTAGTTAAACAAGATTTATATTGAATATCTATTAAAAATATGTCAGTGAAGTAAGTTCAATTTGTGTGCATGTTGGAGAAAATTAAGAAAGAGATAAATTCACCTGATCACTATTCTAAATAAAACCTAGTCTATACGTATATTGTTGAATCTTACATAACTGATTGCAGCTAAATGTGAGATTAAACATTTTAGATGATCTTTTGTTCTTTGCAGTCCTTCTTGTTCTTCGTTTTACAAAGGGTAAGTTAAAAAATTTTATCCTTTTTTATTTGGTATTGTTTTGCGTTGCTTTTCTTCGTTATTGTTCCTAGTATAATAAACATAGAGAAGTAAAAACTCTGTACAAGAAATAATACAATATAGGGGAGCAATCTACAATAGCTAGTATAGTACCTACACGGTAGCTACATGTAACAAGATGCACTTTAATACTTTGATTTATGATATTCCAAATATATATGTATATATATATATGTATATATATATATATATATATATATATATATATATATATATATATATATATATATATATAGAGAGAGAGAGAGAGAGAGAGAGAGAGAGAGAGAGAGAGAGAGAGAGAGCTGTTTTATTGCAATGTTATAGGCAGCGTTGTACTATTTCTGCCATTTTTGAATTTGTTTTTCAGAATGAAATGCCCGTATGGCTTTCTATGGTAATGCATTTTTTAATGTAATTTTTGAAAAGATAGTTGAGACTCGGTTCAGGTGAAATATTCGACAAAAATGGTACATCTATTTGTCGTTCTATGTTTATTTGTGTGGCATATGCATGAACAAGTGTGTAATTAAACCAACTAAGTAAAAAGTGAGTAGAGAATCTTTCTTTTATATAGAATTTGCTCCTTTTTATTTATTGTAATTCAAATGTATTTTATATTCAAAAAACCTACACGTGTTTCCCAAGGAATACAGGTTAAATTATGTGAGATCGACCCACCCAGAACAATACAGTGCACAGGGGGACAGGTTATACAAGTGTATAACGTAATTTTCGGTCGAACACTGCCACCAACTGAGTGTAATCCTTACCAAGTGCCCATTGCCAACTTTAACTGCAAAGGCGGTAAAGCTTCATTCCAGGCTGTGTCCGCCATGTGCGACGGTAAAACATTATGCACTCTGCAAGCCGACGTTAGCCTGCTTGGTGGTGATCCGTGTGCCCAAACACCGAAACATTTGGTTGTAGATTACCACTGTATAACACCAACGCAACCAACAACACCAACCACGCCATCATCAATAACAACTACAACGGTACCGATAACGACGATTACGACTACAACGCCGTCGACAGCACCACCCTCAACTCCAACCACAACACCAACCACGCAGACGACAATTACATCTACACAACCAACAACGCAGACAACACCAACAACTGTGATGACTACTATAACAACAACCCAACAATCACCGACTAACAGTGAGTATGGTTATTTATGTATATATACATTCATTGTTTTATTGCTGTTCTTTATTTAGTCTCTCCAGCTGAGAAGGAAGAAACAACTTTATTAAAAGTTGGAAATAATTTTAGCAATTGCAAATTTCATCAAAGCAAATTTCCCCTAGAACCAATGCAAATAATTTTTACAATGAGTCAAAACACAGAATATGGTTGAAGAAAGTTAAATAGGCATGTATTATATATAAAGGTTTCACAACTACTGTTGTGTTAATGAAACAAACATTCAAATACCAGTCTTCGACCGATTCCTGGAAAACAAGGAATACTCGAACAAGTTTATCTCACATCTCATATGAATTTCATAATATGGTCTGTGTTTATAAAGCTAATAAAAGACATGGAGATGAAAACCGATTTTGAACTGTGTAGTTGTGCCATCACCATGTCGTGAACGGTATATCAAAAATATATTATAGATCTGCAAGATAGTTAGGACTTTAAGACAACCTCAGGAATCAATGTTTACATATACTTAATCAAACATATAGTCACGGAGTAATTGTTAATTTTTTTATGCAAAATGTCAAAGCAGGGAGTCGTGAACGTTGATGTTGTTGTGAGATTTGGACTTTTAACGTAGCCTTAGCAATTTTTAAGTCATATCTTTACGATGTCTGCAGTGTGGCAGTTTATAGAGATGTCTAAAACTAGGGCATCATGCAGCAGACATGTAACATGATGTCCCATTCAGACACATTATCAAAACACCATGCCAACCATTCCTAACACTAACCTCTTAATAATGAGCGCCAAGTAACATTTTGAAACATTTTTGCAAATCTTTGGTATGACTCTACCCGGGATTGAACCCATGACCTCCCGAATCCGAGGCGGGCACTCTAACCACTAGGCTACTGAAGCAGTCGAACGTTGATGTGTTTATTCTAATCAAGGATACAAAATGAAATATTACAATAGTTTTGGATTAAAGGGAATCTCAAAAGGGGGGATCATCTTCCTAACGTTACTGTCCAAGTGTTCGTGTTCGAGTCAAAATCGCACTTTGAAGCAGGTAGTATATTTCCATGTATGTATCGGCGACAGCCAGCATACTAGTTAATACAGTCAGACCCGACAGCAAGGTAGTAAATACATTCGGACTCTACAACGTACTATTAAATATATTCAGACTTGATCATTAGTTTTAACAAAGACATATGCCATTTGCTATCGGTCATGGGCATTGTGAATTACAGCTTTGAAAAGCGTGTCCTTAATAGATGTACGGTGAGAGTCGCCTGAAGTTGTCATTTCACGTTGAATAAATCTGCTACCGCTACGATGAACCAGAAAAGGTAGAATTAATTGTGATTATATTTGATATTCCCATGTCTCTGTAGAGTTGATTTAAATATGAATCTCTGTGTCCGTCCCTTCCTCCTTTCGTTCAGCGCATAATCATGTGGACGCACCAAGCTCTGAAGTTCTTAATGGATTCACATGGAACTTGGTAAAAAAATGCTGGTCACGTGAACATGCCCATATCATCAAGTCACTGTGATCAAGCAATTCTGTAAGAGTTATTGTCCTTTTCGTCTTCCAGTTGAATGTAGTATCTGACAAACTCTCGTGAACGCAACTAGTCCAGTATTTTGTTTCCAGTGTTTTTGTCATAATCAGATCACTTTCATGCCAGCTTTGGTTACGGTTATTCTCCTTTATGTCTTGCAGTTGAATTAAGAATATGCTATAATCGTGTGAAAACATTTGGGTTTAAGAGTGATTAAAAAATTCTACTAAATTTGTCAGCATCTATCTGTATCCGCTTATAGGTCAAGTGCAATCGCAAAAAAAATCCTCACCTGTTCCATAGCATTATGTGCGTGCCGATTAGGGTCTATGCTGTTTGTTCTACAGATTAATTTTAACATACTGCAGATACTCATACTTGAGGGCTCATTATGCTCCGGCAGACCTGGGTCTGTGCAGTTTGCAGATGCACTCGTCTTCTAAGCAAGTAAAGACGGTTTGTTGCTTATGCCAAGAAATAACTGTGCGAACGCGATTTAATTAGAGTTACTGTCCATTTTTGGTGCTAGTGGATTTAGTGTAGGAATCTTACGAGCAACGTGTCTCACAGATTTTAATGGATTCAAATGACACTTGAGAAAAGGTACGATCGTGTGGTTATTTAAAAATGTTTGGCCTCTCACAATTCTGGTTAGATTTATTGCCCTTGTTTCTTGCAGCTGATTACAGTGTATGACAAAATCTGGAAAATGCAGCTATCCCGCAGATTTTTTTTTTTTTATTATATCGTTGTATAGTTTTGATTGGGACTGGATGTGTTGTATGTGACTTGATCTTGTAAAAGTACTTAATATGTAATATGGCCGTTTTCAAAGGACTGATATTCGACTTTGTACATGTGACTGAACATGTGAAGATGTGCAAATTAACTAATCACGGTGTACTCGCAGTTTATGTTGTAGTTAGTTCCCATTTTTGTCATGCAACAGAACAGAAAACTTGTAAATGCCACACTTCTCGCATGCTTTTGTTGTTAGTTTTTTATGGGGAAGGGGCCTTTGCAGGTTTTTGGGGGGTAGTTTATTTTAAAAAAAAAAAAATATGCATCACCGTAAAACTTGGCACATACTGTAGTTCGAGTCTGAATATACATACATTGCCAACTCTTTTCCTGTCCTTCAGAGTGTTTATAATATTTATCTTTTATTTTACTAGGTGATGTATACAATTTATAACTCAATTTTGCATATGTAACTACTCTTACTGTTTTCAGTCGATTACCATTACACTCAGAACATATCATGGTCGTTATCAGAATATATGTGTATTGACCAATCATTATCCGCCCACTCTTTTAGAGGCCTTATGAATAACTTCTTCAATTGTGGATTCAACCCATTTCTCTTGGTAGTTGAAGGATGCAGGAGCAAATCGATCGATATTAGTTTTGGCTCATTACTTCCGACTGGTCCTGAATGATATGGCATCTGTAACAATAGGATGAAAGTTTGCTACAAATACTTGCTTATTAAAAACATTGTATGTGGTATAATCCATTTTTCCAAAACAGACTGAAATCGCATTTAATTTTTTTTAATTCTATCGATGATAATTTTTTACTTTAAGTTTACCGTTGAAAAAAGTCTTGTAAAAAGTTGGTCACCTTGCACATTGGGTACAAGAAGATGGCCGCTTGACCTTGAAGTATCATGTTCTTCCCAAAATATTTCAAACAACAATTGTACCTTTAGGAACGATAAAACAGTGTATCAAGGAAAACAAAATGCACCACAAGACGATTAAAACATAAATCAATTTTGATCATCTTGTTACAAGATCAATAATTTGAAAGTCATCACCATCGTAATTATCATCATCAGCAGCAGCTGCATCAATTTTATTCTTTGCAGAAGCATTAGCATTATTATGATAATAGTATTGTCATTATTATTACCATCTTGATCTCATCATGATCATCATCGTCATTATCATCATCGTCGTCGTTGTCACCACCATCATCATCATTATTATCATTATCATTATTATTATTATTATTATTATTATTATTATTATTATTATTATTATTATTATTATTATTAATTGTATTTTTTTGTGTCAGTGCAATCACTCTCGCTAAAATATTTGTGTAGTTTAGTTCAGTTATTTGCATCACCTTCATCGCTACCATCCTGCAAAAAAAATTATATATATATATATATATATATATATATATATATATATATCTATATATATATATATATATATATATCTATATATATATATATATAAGATACGGAGCATGTGTGCGACAACCAGGTGGACACATGCACGTTGTGTTTGTAAAAGTTTACAGGTTTACATGTAGAGGTTTACAAACACAACGTTTTTGTGTTTATTTGTTTGTCGTATATATGTTTTGTATTTGCCTTTGAAAAAGTCGAAAGCGCTTAGGCTAGTTAGTTACTAGTTTCGTACTGTTCGTCATCAGTTTATTGCATCTATTTTAATAAATCCCTGACACACGTGATCCCTTGTGTGTGTGTGTGTGTGTGTGTGTGTGTGTGTGTGTGTGTGTGTCAAAGTTTGCTTTCACTAATAGCGAATAATATAGTTCTGTCTGCACATTAATGCTATAAATTACGTTTCCAGGTCAGCACAAAGTAATCTGTGAACAGCAAGGGGAGACAATTCGATGCATTCCTGGATATGAACTTGACATTGATACCGTGTTTTATGGCCGGATTCAAACCAACTTATGCAACCCCTTCAATGTGACAATAAAAAATACTAACTGTACATCTACTAACATAAGCACGAATAGTGTCAAATCCGTATGCAACCACCAAAGTTCCTGCTTACTTACAGCGGACAACCATTTCTTACGAGAGGATCCTTGTCCGAATGTTCCGAAATACTTAAAGGTAATCATATTTAAATGTTGGAATAAGTTATTCTGAAATGTAGATCGAAAAGATCTAAGTGATCATAATAAATCCATAACGAATCCAATCACTATCATGGTTTCGTTAAAATGCTGGCCTGAAAATCAATGCATGCATCGGACAAGTGAATTAAACTGATGATGCACGAGAGTAGCGTGGCAAAAGTAAAGTCAGTTGGAACATTCTGAACATTTTCATCCAAGTTTGTAAATAAGCCTTGAATGTAATTCGCCGTCATTAAGAAACACATTCGGAACTCCTTTTGCTCTCAAAGCACAGTATGGCGGTAGAATATGGCAAAGTCACATTTGAAACATTGTTGGCCTTTTAAGTCAAAAGATATATTGTGCACTCTTCCGTAGACGAATCACCAAACCAGTAGAAGCTTTGTGCATTCCTGCAATTATATCCAAAGTTGTTTCCGTCTTGACAGAATTGACTGAGCAATGGTGCAGTTGAAGATATAGTTTTTGAGCCGCAGTCAGCGGTAAATGGCTTCTGTCCCAATGGGTGACCTTATATATCGAAATAAACTTTTTTGTTTTGAACATGGATTTCCTAATATGTGAAAATTCTTGTATATAAAAGTGTTATGATCAGAAAAGTGAGTAACGGTAATGCTTGAATAAAACATTTTTTACTAGCATGCTAATGAGACCAAGATAAATTCAGGCAGAATTAAAATACAAGATAGTAAACCCAAATCATAAAGTTGGAGGAATGAACAATGTCAAAAGTTTGCTTCTGTGCATAAGCATATATTAGGGGTGGGGCTGGGAAGGGTTTTGATTATACGTTATGTGCATGATTTTGGAGTTGAATTAATTCAACTGATTAGAATTTCATAAATCTTGAATAATATATTAGACCGTTTTCTCAACCATTATTTTCTTTTTCTCAGGTAACTTATCATTGCAACATAATGACTACGCCGCACACAACATTGGCCTCTACACTAACTAATCCAGCGTCGACATTATCAACAACATCCAAAACACAGACAACATCAAGTACGACAGCGACATCTACAAGCACCACGCCAACAAGCACAACACAAACTACAATATCTACAACAGCAAGAACTACTACTCCTACAACAACCATAACGCCAACTACAACTTCAACCACCACAACATCAACGCCAACTTCAACCACCACAACACCAACTACATCTTCAACCACCACATCAACGCCAACTTCAACCACCACAAAACCAACTACATCTTCAACCACCACAACATCAACGCCAACTTCAACCACCACAACAACTTCGACCACACCTACTACAACCACTATGACAACAACACCAACATCAACTACGACAACCACGACTACCACTACACCAACTACAACATCAACAACAACTAGCACAACTCTGTCAACGCCAACATCAACAAGATCAACTCCAATATCAACTCAGACACCAACATCAACTCAGACACCGACATCAACT